TTTTAAAATTGTGCCTGGGTCAAATTTCTACCAGTAATGGGGATTCGTGGCAGGACAATAGTTATTACTAAGCAGCCTGAAACTTGGGTGCATTTTGATAGGCTCCTTAATCTTGGACGGATCAAGTTCATGGCTTGAAGTAATTGTAGCAGTGCTGAGTCACTTACTATGATTACATACCAATTTTTAGCCAGTTCTCTATGGAAACTTGGGTTTCTGGTTTTGATTTTAAAATTTTTGAGAGATTTGCACAGATTCCAAATGAGGATTTGGTGCTTGGTGTGTCAGGGAAAGGACAGTGGCCATCTTGGCTACAGAAAGGGATTTTCATAAGCCCTCTCTTGTAGAGCTTGCCGTTTAAAAGCAGCCCACATCTCTGTTGAAGAATGGGAGACTTGTATTCTGTGAAACAGCTTCTCTTTGAATCTAATTGAGCCTAACTATAGGCCTCATCTACAAATGATGCTTATAATGTGCCCAGGAACAATGGTGTCTGCATTTTTAAAAAGAAAGTAAAAGGAGATGCTTGTTTCTGGCTTATGCTATGGGCTGAGGTCTTTAGGGAGAAGTAGGAATGAGGGGTTAAGTTCAGATTTTGAGAATTCAGGAATTGGCTTCTGTCAAATCTAACTGTTTAATTATCACTCTAGCAATATTTCACTGCCGAGAATTTGAATAAGAGTCTTTCCCTGCTCTTATGAAACAGTGTATAAGGACCATGAGCATTATTTGAAGATCTTCCATTTAAAATGTAGTTTTCTATGTGTGTTCTCTGTAATCAGTTAAATATCACATGTTCTCTTGGCTCTATCCAACCATTTTCTTTGAAAATAATGCTGACTTCAGAGAGAGTTCTGGGTTAATAATTAGCCAGATGTGTCTCTGCCTCTGAGTTTGGGTCTCAAGCAGGCTACATATAACTTCCAAGTGTAGAGGTAAGTCTTTATACTTTGGAAAACATAGTTCAGTTACCTAATAGAGTCCCTAATTTTTGGCATCATAAGGATGCCTTTGTAATTAGTTTTCTATGTGAAACCAATGAATTGTAGTGTGTAACTTACAAAGCTCTATTTTCTAGGGCTTGCCTTCATCAATGGGAGAAAAAGTGTGATTTTTTTTTTCCCACTTTAAGGTTAGCCCCAGATACTGTTGTGACACCTCAGCTATACACAAAGCTGGTGTGGATTCCCCTTAAGGCAGGTTTCCCAGGTGCCACCCAGCTTTTATTTGTCTCCCACAGTTCCAGTTGTTCCCAACAGTTATTTCACACAAAAGCAGCTTTAGTTACCTTGTTAGACAGGTTGGTTACTCCTCTAATTCCTACTCATATTCAGGAAGAGGAGACTCTTGGCTGCGAACATTCAGATGATCGACCCTGCATTAGTTTGGCTACAGTGATGTGGTGGTTTGCTGATGCCATCTCTTCTCAAGTCTTTTGCATTCTGGTTTTCACCCTTACATCTGTTTTCTCCAACACCTCCAGTCATCTCCTGGCTCCTTTACCACTTCCTTTAACCACCTGTAGGTTTTTCTCTGTGATGGGAAAAACATTCTGTCTCCTGCTATCCTCTTCATCTATGAGACTGTTATTCCTTCCCCTTCACTGTCAAACTTCTCACAAGTTTTTGCTCCTAACCACTGCTTCATTTCCTCTCTATACCTTCTTCCTCCCTACAGTATGGCTTCTATCCCCACAATTGGATGGAACTCTCTTTCTGAAAGATTTTCAGGGAAACCTTTTTTTTTCTTGCCAATCCTGACTTCACTTGTCCATTCCATGTTGTAGATGTCCTGTCATGTGAGCCTCCAGAATGGCTCCCTCCACAGAGTTTCCATTTTGGTCCATGGGAACTCCAATTTTCACTTAATTCATGCTTCCAGTTTTCTTTCAAAGTACTTCTCATTCTGTCCTTTTCCATTCCCCTGGACACCACCCTACTCCTGGCTCTGGTTCCTTTGCATCTGGATCTGCACGCTAGCCTCCGGATCGCCCTGTCCCCAGTCTCTCCTTACTGAAATCTGCCCTATGCACCACATTGATAATATTGTTGTTAAAACACTATTTTACTGTGTCATTCCTTCGCTTGTAAACCTTCAGTGCCCTTTGCCACCTATAAGTCCAGTCTCCTCAGGCTGGCTTTTCAGATCTTTCATAATATTTCCCCACACTACTTAGCCAATCTTATCTCCTACTAACTTCTAAATGTTAACTACTCCTGCCAACTTGGTCTCTTTACTGCTTCCCAGATACATTGTCTCACCTGTATGCATTTGTACATGGTGTTTTCATTTTCTAGAACTCCCTCCCTAAATCCTTGTATACATTTTTTCCAAAATATATCCTCCTTCCATGAAGTATTCTGTAACCCTTCTGATGAACTCATAACTTGCCCTTGTTCTTCTAAACATTCCCTACACACAAACAATTCATTTTGACATTACCTTGCACACTCATTGCCAGACATTGCCACCTGTTTTATATGTCTATCTTCTGAATAAAACGAATTCCCTGTTAGCAAGGACAGTGGTATAAACCACCTTTGTATCCTTCAAGAAGCCCAACACATTGCTGAGTATATTGTAGGCCTCTAATAAATGCTTTAAATTGAAATGTGGTAATGATGTTTTAGAAAGAATGAGAATGACCATTTGTGTTTTCTTCTCTACCTCCAGTCAAGTATCATCACGTGGGCAAACTGCTGAAGGAGGGGGAGGAGCCCACTGTGTACTCAGATGAGGAAGAACCAAAAGATGAGAGTGCTCGGAAAAATGATTAAAGCATTCAGTGGAAGTATATCTATTTTTGTATTTTGCAAAATCATTTGTAACAGTCCACTCTGTCTTTAAAACATAGTGATTACAATATTTAGAAAAATTTTGAGCACTTGCTGTAAGTTTTTTAATTAATATCACTAGTGACACTAATAAAATTAACTTCTGTCTTAGAATGCATGATGTGTTTGTGTGTCACAAATCCAGAAAGTGAACTGCAGTGCTGTAATACACATGTTAATACTGTTTTTCTTCTATCTGTAGTTAGTACAGGATGAATTTAAATGTGTTTTTCCTGAGAGACAAGGAAGACTTGGGTATTTCCCAAAAACTCTTAAATGTGCACCAAGAACAAAGGATCAACTTTTAGTCATGATGTTCTCTAAAGATAACAAATCCCTTTTTTTTTTCTCAATTGACTTAACTGCATGATTTCTGTTTTATCTACCTCTAAAGCAAATCTGCAGTGTTCCAAAGACTTTGGTATTGATTAAAGCACTGTCCAGTAACAAAATGAAATCTCAAAACAGAGCTCAGCTGCAAAAAAGCATATTTTCTGTGTTTCTGGACTGCATTGTTGTCCTTGCCCTCACATAGACACTCAGACACCTTCACAAACACAGTAGTCTATAGTTAGGATTAAAATAGGATCTGAACATTCAAAAGAAAGCTTTGAAAAAAAACAGCTGGCTGGCCTAAAAACCTAAATATATGGTGAAGATTGTAGGACTGTCTTCCCAAGCCCCATGTTCATGGTGGGGCAATGGTTATTTGGTTATTTTCCTCAATTGGTTATTCTCATTTGAAATGAGGGAGGGACATACAGAATAGGAACAGGTGTTTGCTCTCCTAAGAGCCTTCATGCGCACCCCTGAACCATGAGGAAACAGTACAGTTACTAGCCAAGTGGATTTTAAAGTAAAGTATATTCATAAGGTAACAGTTATTCTGTTGTCATAAAACTATACCCACTGCAAAAGTAGTAGTCAAGTGTCTAGGTCTTTGATATTGCTCTTTTGGTTAACACTAAGCTTAAGTAGACTATACAGTTGTATGAATTTGTAAAAGTATTATATGAACAGCTAGTGAGATTTCAAACTCTTGTAATTGTGGTTAAATAGTCGTTGTATTTTCTTGTGAACTGTGTTTAATGATTTTACCTCAAATCAGAAAACAAAATGATATGCTTTGGTCAGTTAATAAAAATGGTTTTACCCACTATAGTGTGGTGACTTATTTAAATTTTTTAAAAAACCTTATTCTAGGGAATCTGATTCAGACATTTTACTTTGGCTTAAAATTCAGTTTCACTTTTGAGTGCAGAGTTTTTGTATTCCAAAAGAAACAAGCGGCAAAATTTCACGGAGACCCCACACCAAAAACCAAATACCAGCTTGTCCTGTTAAGACATAGTGAATTGAATTGCTTTTTTTGTGAATTGTCAAAGTTTTGCCTAAATCAGAACTTTCTAAACTGTAAATGGCAGATCTCCACCTTGAAGTCTATAGCCAGGTTCTTAAGAAGTAGTGTTACTGAAGACTTTGTCATTGCCAAGTACTAAGGAAGGGTTTTGGGTTTTTTTATGTTAATGAATTTCCTGATCAGGAAAGTATCAGGATCCTTACAGTAGCAAAGTTAATTCACCTCATATCAAAAGAAGAATAACAGATTTGCATATGCAGTCAGTTGTATAAACAAAGACAACCTATTAGTGTTTTGTCATTTTAATGTTAACATTGGCAGAGTTTTCTTACAAGAGATATACTCTCTGAACCAAAGAAATTTCAATTTTTCATGTTATCAAACCACATTGCAGGTACTTGTGAGTTTTTTTAATGTGCTCTTTTTTTTCCCACTTGGTTTCATTCACCAAATGTTTGAGTGCCTGTTTTGTGCCATGTAACATGTTATGCCTTATGCTTTGGAGAGGGAGTGGGGGAGACAAGTTGGGCCCACCTTTGCAGCCTGAAATCTCATGTGCATGTGAAGATTAGGCTAAGTTAAACAGGCCAAGAGGAAAATATCTAGAGCAAGCTTGTCCAACCCACGGCCCACGGGCTGCATGCAGCCCAGGACAGCTTTTAATGTAGCCCAACACAAATTTGTAAACTTTCTTAAAACATGAGATTTTTTTTTTTACATTTTTTTTTTTTTTTTTTTTAGCTCATCAGCTCTCATTAATGTTAGTGTATTTTATGTGTGGCCCAAGACACCCAGGGCTGAAGGAATTAGGTGAAATTCCATGGAGTCAATTTTGCTACCTCTTATTAGCACTGATAAAATGTGCTAAAGGGAGGATCATCTTAAATCTAAATATCATGATTTCAGTTTGTCCAAAATGAAAAGAAAACTATGGTCTTTAGTCCCATGAACTCTGACAAGTCAGTTTCCACAAAACAGGAAAAGTGACATAGAAACGATATTAAAATCAGGCATCTGTATTTCCACAGAAAATGTTATTGTGGATGTGCAACATGCTAGCCAATACATGTGATAAATGAACAAATAATATTCACTATGATTATTTTTAATATATCTGACAATTGAATATGTATTACTTCTCTAACAATGCAAATGAGAAAAGAGATCATCAACAATAGCACAAAGCAGCATACTGTAAGTAGAAACTTTCCCCCAAAGGTGGACTTATCAGCATTTATTTAAAAATGAGTATTTTAAACAATTTTGCAACAAGTAAAAATATGTTTATTTGGTTCTTATTTTCAAAATTACCAGGTTACATGGCTTTCTGCCTGAGAAATTTAAACAAATTGAAAGCACATTGACATATTTTTAGTCTTTTTGCATTACTACCAGCAACCCATACAACAAAAAACATGAAAATACCTTAAGACAAAGATTAAAGTTCAGACCCTTAACAGGACATAGAAAAAGATATGAGAAAACACTTATTCACTACTTAGCACAACAAAAAATAGCAGTGTTCATTAAGAAGGTGGTTACAATATTTTAGTTCTATTTTACTCCCTACTAAGCCATTCAATTAAAAAGTACAGGATAAGTTGTCTTCCTCATTTAGGGCCTACACACCAAAAAGGCTGACTCTTTTATAAGACATATAAAAGTCTAGGGTTATTCAGAATGTAAACATAAAACCAGTATTTTTACTTTCTTCTAAGTCCCAGGATGGTATTTAGAAAAAAAAAAGAGACAAAAATGTTATATAGAAATGACTTAGCACCGGTTCTAATACACATAAAAATTGCACATGCTGTACTCTGCAATTTATTTTTATGTCTGACTACTGAGCAGCAAACTGTTTTCATGTCCAAAATCTCTGCAAAGAAAAATCAAGTGACAATGAGTTTTTTTCAAAACAAGCATAGCTGCTTCTCATTACAAATCCATAATATTCTTTGTTTTAATGGCATGACACATGAAAAATTAAGAGGCAGGTTTTTCGTCAAAGGAAAATAATACCTGGTTACTGAAAGTTGCCTGACAAAATACAAGCTGTTAGTAGTTTAAAAGTCTACTCTGGACAACAGTACTTTGAACATTAAGTCAAGGCACTTGCCCCATGAGCGGTGTTTTTCAGATTTGACAAGCCAAATCTAGTTTTGATGGAAGAGTCACTGGCTTGAAAGTGGAATTGAACCCAAGGGAGCCAACAAATCATCCACTGGTTATTATATTATTAATAATAAACAGCATCTGCTATGGTACATTCATTTCTGACTTCTTGCACGTACTAACATAGCTCTATGATTAGAAGAGATCGATGAAACAACTTGTGGCTCTTCCTTCAGATAAATAAGATTTTGTAGCCCTTTCACATACCAGGTTGCTCAAAAGGCTGATTATATGCACACATTGTGATAATCTGGGCAGCTACAATGACTGGCATTCTACCTGGCTCTACCAGCTGGTACTTTACTACAGAATATCAAATTAAGGGTGTATGAATGAATCATGTCATATCAAAGTGTTGCCCTTTACTGCTTCTGTGGATTTAAAATCACTTTTTCCTGTTGCCAACAGTCTCTAATCTCGTTAATGTCTTCAATTACCAGGTCAGGCATAGTTTTGTTGGAGGAAAAAAAAAAAGGCAATCTATTGCCCCTGAGGTCCTAAATACAAGGTAAGGCAGAATGAATCAGCTGAGCTTTCTATAGAACATGCACTGCACTAAAATGTAAGTCTTCAAGAATCCATAAAATATCCCAATTTAAAAACATTTATGAAGTCAAAAACTAGTAGGTAAAAAGATCAATTGCTTATGTTGAGAGTTTACAAATCCTACACATACACATTTTTCTCCAGCTACAAAACTATAGGCTTTTCTCTTGACTCTTTTTAAAAACTCAGTGGCATCACTAAGGATTGAGAAGAGAGGCACTTGTTACTATTTAATAAAGTTCAGTTTGGGGGATATTCAGTGACTTTTTACAGACTGATGTAACCCAGCCCTGAGTGAAAGGATTACATAACCTGAAGTGGAATAGTCACATCCTCTCTTTTCAAGTGACATTATTGGTGCCCCACAATTTTTCAGTATTTCCTTTTGCAAATTCCACTGGTTATATTACTTCAATCATGCTGTTTTTCTAAAATGGAAAGATATGGGGTTCTTAAAAAAAAAAAAAAAAAAAAAACTCTGCTAATGGGTTTAAATACTATCCACTTAAACCTCAAAGGACAATCTAGACCACTTTTAGATTCTTCTTCCAAGACTTTGTCTTGAAAAAGACAACTCTTTCAGTATTTAAATGTAGTAGTAAGATGAATTTGCTCCTGGTGGATGCTCATGCAACCCTTTAATGTCATGAAGAAGTCTATGTTCTAACTGTCGTCTCTTTTTTCTACAATTATTTCTAAATAAAACTCAGGAAAGTTTGTTGCTGCACGTGGTGTTTCTGACCAAATAAAACATGTAAAAGGATCATTATTCATTCACTGTTGCCATCTTTGGAGATAAACGACACTGAATGATGATGTTGTGATGCCTAAGGAGCCATAGAGGGCCATCTCAACCCCTCTCGATGTTAATCTGCTCCTTCACTGGCATCAAATTAAAGTTTTAGTTGAACTATAGAAATGTCTATCCTTGGATCAAGTAGCATTTAAAAGCTTGAGCAGGGTCAAATACAAAACATTATTTCTCTTGCCAAAGTTGAAAGCATAGGTCAAAATGACTCCAGGTGTATTGGCAAGCTTTGGAAATATAAAACACACAGGTTCTGAAGCTTTTAAATGCTGCTGTCTTGCTGTGTAGTTGTTAATTACATGGCTACATTTGGTTTTAAATTTTCTTCTTGTAACATGTTTACTGTGAAAAAAGATACTCCTGATCTAAGTGGCCATCAAAACATTCAAAATTTAAAGAACCAGTGCAGTTATTTCCTGAATAGCTTCCATAGTCAATATACTCCTGACCATTTTGTCTACTATAGTGATAATCAGAATTGAATTTGAAATAGTTATAATTACATCCTCTAAACCTTCTTGAATTCTGGTTATATTCTGACTTCCAAGGAGTCCCTCTTCTTCTGTGAAAATTACCAAAATAGAAAGACCTAGCCCTTCTTGATGACGTTACGGGCACCTGAGAGGGCCCATAGTTCACTTTCTGATCCAATGCACTATCACTAAACCTCCCCTCTAGATAACTGGAACTGGGTTCCTGGTAGTAATCTTCGTCAAACAAGTATTTGGGAGCTATCTGTTCCTTCATTTGGTCATTATTGTTTTCATGTGTAATGAAATGACTTTCACCCCTACGCCATGAACATATCCATTTCGGTTCATACTCAGACTTCCTGCCTGGTGTCCTAAACCTGTAATTAGAGTATTTTTCCTCACCATCACTCCTCCACTTTGAAAAAAATGTCTGCTGACTCAACCTTGTATTTTGTTTGCGTGTGATCATTTTGTCAGTGTCAAGAGGTTCTTTTTCTGAGAAACTATTAAATGTGGCCACAGATTTCTCTTTCTCCTCTTTGTTTATACTAAGGGTTTCACTGAAGCATTCAGAATCACTACTAATTTCCTCTAAGAAATCTGTCAACTGTAAATCTAAGCCTATTGACTCGTGGGGTGTGGACACTTGGCTTTTCCTTGTGGATTTGGAATCTTCAATATAAGTATGAGTCTTTTCCAACAGACAGCTGTTTCCATCAGTTGGGGACAGCTGACCACCAGCTTTATGGGCTGTCTCCTGGCAATGAGTTTTAAACCCATTAGTACATTCTTTGGCATAATCTACTTTTCCTCGTTTATGCTCAGGATCCTGAGTACAAACGTTTGATGAGTAATCATTTTCTTGAACCTGTTCTTTCCTTTCCAGGTTTTCCCCTTGGCTCGAATTGATTGAGTGATGCCTACGCTTTCTCAAACTAATCTGAAATCCATCTCCCTTAGTTTGAACATCCCTCTGCCACTGACATGTGCCTGCTACCTGACTTGTTTCTAGGCAGATACGAGTATATTGTGGAGCTTCATAATAATTGAAAAGATAGTCAAAAAATGCATCTGTTTCATGGATCTTAGGTTTCCTGCCTTGGCCTCTCCCAGATAATTTGGAACAGGATTCACTAGAACCGTGGTGATCTTCATTTTCAAGAGACTGGCCTTTAATTATCGTAATCTCCAAGGAGTTATGCTCAAAAAACAAACTGTATTCATATTCTTCATCACCTAATAATATTCCAGTTCTCTGTTTTCTAGGGGAATACCTTAAATTTTCTTCCCCAAGGCAGTGGGAAGATTTCTGTAAGTGATCCCTAGTTATTTTCTCCATTTTTTGTTTTTGCTTATTGTCTGACTTGGCAACCTGATATTTTGATATTTCCTCTTGATTTTGAAGATGCAGAGTGTTTAGCTCTTCTTCCTCCAGAGTTTTCAATGTGTTCCCTCGAGAAGCATTAGCTTTGGTGCCAATAATGTCGACCTCCTGTGGGTTAAACTGTGTGGATCCCTTCAAAGAAAAAGATTTAAAATCTCTCATGAAAAACTAAACAGATTAAAAAATTCCAAAGACAAATTGTGCTTTCTGACATTGTTCTGAAGAGACTTCTAATACCTGGGATAGATCCAAATTAGGAACAATATTGCACTGAGGAAATAGAAGGCAAAATTAAATGTCTTAGTCTAATATGAACTGTTTTGAGTAGGTCTATGCCCATGCTTATGTGAGAAGGCACCACACTTTACATAGCCTTCAAAGCACATGACTCTTTTCTCACTTGTTTGAAAATCAGTGCGCCTGATGTTCCGGGTATTGTGCTAGGAGCTGGAGATACAAAGAGGAATAAGAAATGATCTATAGCCCTCCCAGAAAAATCCCAGTACAAGAAAAGACTGACGGGTGAAATGTATATCTAAAAGGGTCCACTAGCTTAAAAGATAAACTGTCTTTCTTTTCATACCAGCCTCTTACTATGGACTGCAGGTAAAGCTGTCTCTGAGTTTCCTCCCCATCTCCCTGTGCTCAGTAAAAAGCAATGCAGCAAGTAGCAAATGTGGCCGTGATCATGGTTCTATCTGCAATCATGTCTGCAGTGCTATCTGCTCTCCATAACCGCACAGCAGGTGAAAGGTGCTGCCCACAGGCCCCATCCTGCTGGAGGCTTTGTACTGTGCTCCCACTGACACCTGACACACATCAGAGCACAGTGCCTACACACTACCTGGGATTAGAACCTGGGACTGCATAATGGATATTAGTATTTACGAGGCCAAGAAATCAGACACCACACACATAGAGATAGATTCTTTAGGAGGAGTCACCCTCAGAGGTCATTAAGGAAAATGAAAAGAGATCCAGCTAGCCTTATTATCAATGTAAATGTGACATTTTTCTGATCCTGATTTCACTAAGTTTGATTGTCCACACTAATGAGAAAAAGGTCAAGATTGCAAATATACATAAAATTTATGTAATCCTAATGGCATTTACTATTCATATTTTAAAACACTGAATATGGATTTTTAAATGAACACTTTGGCAGTTTTTCTGGCTTTTAATCCAGGACATCTGCAGAATCTGGCTATCTTTAAGAGGTCAGGAAGGGGGAGAAACACCTTCCAAAAATGAAACTCTCCAAACATAACAATTGCTCTGTGGGGTGAGTAATTTCTTATCAAATAGTTTAAAACTAGACTATCATGAGCTTGTTACAAGTCTCAAGACTCTACCAAACCTACTGCAGATGAGTGGAAAAGTAAGGTTAATAACACCTAACATCCACCCCCCATCCGTTTCTTCCCTCTGGCATTTTTCTGTTACATCCATTAGGAACTTAGAAAAGTAGACACACTAGCTAAATGTTCTGGGTAATACTGTCCTGAAGTTTAGAAACAGAAAGAGAGAGAAAATGAGAGAGAGAGAGAGTCAAATGGAAGAGTTGGGACTCAACTCCTTTAGAGAATGTGGATATCCCTTTTGTAAACTACTATTGGGTTGTTAGAGGTCAGCCTATTAAAATAAGCCCCAGTGGATGCAATGAGTCTTCCATGGAGTGAATTTTCAATAGACCACTGCTCAAATGCAAAGGTAATGTCTCAGAAAGGCGAGTACCTACCAAACTTGAAGAACAATTTGGCAATAGCCTTCCTGAAATGTTCCTCAGGAGTACACTTAGGAACCGAAGTGCCTCAACTTGCCGCTGAGACACTAGGTACTGCCTCTTCTCCCACTCCTCTGAAGAGTCCGGCTCTTGAGGTGCCTCAGCTTTGGCTTTGGGCTTCTGTTTCCTGAAAATTAGAACTGTCTCAGTTAGGCCCTTATGGGAATGTGGGGAAAGGGAAAGAAGGGACAATTACCTAAGTCAGAACTTAGCCAAAAGTCAGAGGATTATCTAAATTGGATGTTCAGCCTGGATTTGGGGGGGACTAGTTATATTTATTAGGCTCAAGCTCTGGCCAAGTTTCACAGACATGACCTCAAGTAATTCCTATCACTCCACTGGTAAAAAAGAAAGGGACACATGGAAGGGTATTCTTTATCTCCTTTTTGTTGAGACAGAGTCTTGCTTTGTCACCCCAGTTAGAGTGCGGTGGCACAATCATAGCTCACTGTAGCCTCAGACTCCTGGGCTTAAGTGATTCTCCCACCTCGCCCTCCCGAGTAGCTGGGACTACAGGTGTGTGCCACCATGCCTGGCTATTTTTTTTTTTAAATTTTTGTAGAGACAGTATTTCCCCGTGTTGCCTAGGCTGGTCTTGAACTCCTGGCCTCAAGTGATCCTCCCACCTCAGCCACCCAAAGTGCTGGGATTACAGGTGTGAGCCTGCTTATCTCCTTTACTGAATGGCTACAATTTATATGAAAGAATAAAAGAATAAACATGCATGAGGAAGGGCCAGGAAGTAAAATTAATTTTCAAAGCTCCATAGTTTTGGCTCATCTGTACTCGACTGGCAACCTTTGGCAATCCAATAGCCCCTTCTAGACTCAAACTCCTGAACTGGACATCAACAATAAGCTCAAAGAAATAAATACAAAGAGGCCAGGTGCAGTGGCTCACGCCTGTAATCCCAGCACTTTGGAAGGCCGCGGTGGACAGATCACCTGAGGTCAGGAGTTCAAGACCAATCTGGCCAACATGGTGAAACCCTGTCTCTACTCAAAATACAAAAATTAGCCAGGCATAGTGGCTCGAGCCTGTAGTCCCAGCTACTCGGGAGGCTGAGGCAGAGGTTGCAGTGAACCGAGATCGTGCTACTGCACTCCAGCCTGGGCAACAGAATAAGAAAGGGGGAGAGAGAGAGAGAGAGAGAGAGAAAAGGAAAGGAAGGAAGGAAGGAAGGAAGGAAGGAAGGAAGGAAGGGAGGAAGGAAGGAAGGAAGGAAGGAAGGAAGGAAGGAAGGAGAAAGAAAGGAAGGAAGGAAGGAAGGGAAGAAGGAAGGAAGGAAGGAAAGAAGGGAAGAAGGAAAGAAAGGAAGAAAGGAAGGAAGAAAGGAAGGAAGGAAGAAAGGAAGGAAGAAAGGAAGGAAGGAAGGAAGGAAAAAAAGAAGAAAGAAAAAGAAGGAAGGAAAGAGAGAGAGAAAGAAAGAAAGAAAGAATATATATGGAGGCTTCTTAAATTCACAGATAGAATTTAGGCCAACAAGAAAAATACTCCGAATCAATCCATGCTTTCTTGCGTACAAGTTAGCTTGATTACTGAACATTTTATAGAAGAAATTCCATCCCAGCCCTAAATTCTTAAGAATTTTAAATTAGTAGGCTAGGAAATTTTGATAATATTTGGTAAACTGGTAAAATTCCTAAGTTGGCAGGCTAGGATTTTTACTACAAAATTTCTGGTCCCTTTTTAAAAAAATCATTTATTTCCAGACATCTTAATTTAGCTAGTTCTATTATTCCTCATTATTTGTCCTCCCTGACAAACATATTTTTTTGAAGTCTCTTGTTTTCAACAGTTTTGCTATTTTGGTTTTGTAACAGCACAGTTGAAAGACTGTAGCTTTCAATGGCATTTTCCAATCTGCTCCAATTCTTGTCCCCCATCTCAATGTTATCTACCAAGTCTAGCTGTTTATCCAAAAGGATTAATCCCTAAATCAAAGAAAAAAAATCTTCATTAAAGTTGGTCTACACACCTTTCAGCTACTTCCTCTTCTCTTCTCTTTTCTTTTTTCCTTTCTTCTTCTAGTTCTTGTAATTTTAGCCTTTCCTGATTTCTCCTCCTTACAGCTCCTTCCCCAAAGTGTTTGGTCGTATCAGACGTAACCTGCTCCAAAACAATTCAAAGTTTCATTAGAAAAGTTTGCCAGCTGGCTGGGCACGTCCCAGATCAGAAAGATAAAACTAAGATGGTACATGGTAATTCAAAATCAATTCAATTCAAAATGTCCTCTCTGCATCCCAGTACTCATATTCCTACTGCTTCTCAGCCACCAGCCAAACAGTACTTGTAAGCTTGAGGATTTTCTTTGGCAGAACCCTTGAATAAGTATATCAAATCATCACCTTAACTTTACACAATTTTACTTGTCAGTCATACCTCAATAAAGCTGTTTAAAAAAAAAAAAAACCCTGAGGAGCTTACTTTACATTATGGTCATAGACACCATCACAGTGCCATCATAGGCACAGGCTGAGAAATGTCAGTCTGTTACTTCTGGTTCATTAAAAAGATCAAATGAGTTAAAGTATTTTTTTTAATCATCGGGAACAAAAATAATCAGAAGTGTCTGTGGTGCAGGGAGAACAAAGATGCACAAAAACTAACCTGACGAGAGAGAAGATCTATCATGATTAGTAAACAACTTTTCAAATCTTGAAATAAAGTGAAAATCAGACTGAGATACTACAAAATAGTATAAAATAGGTTAAAATTTTTGGTTAACCAAATCACAAGAAAATTAAAACCAGACACTGGACAGCGGGAAGTGGTCTCTCATCTTGTGGTAATGTTTTATTTATTTATTACTTATTTATTTATTTTTGTTTATTTGTTTGTTTTTTGAGATAGGTTCTTGCTCTGTCGCCCAGGCTGGAGTGCAGTGGCATGATCTTGGCTCACTGCAACCTCTGCTTCCCGGCTCAAGCGATCTTCCAGCCTCAGCCTCCCAAGTAGCTGGGACCACAGGCAAAAGCCACCACACCTGACTCATTTTGTATTTTTTGTAGAGACGAGGTTTTGCTATGTTGTCTTGGAGCTCAACATGATCCACCCGCCTTGGCCTCCCAAAGTGCTAGGATTACAGGTGCAAGCTACCGCACGGAGCCTAATTTTTTATTTTTTAAGCTGAGCAGTGGTACATGGGTGGTCATGACAGTATTTGCTATATCATTTGCCTGGCTGAATAGCTCATAATTTTAAAATACACATTTTAACATAACTAGCTACATATACACACGTGTGCACGCACACATACACATACTCATACACTGGAAGCTGAAAGTCCAAATTCATGCTAAAGACTGATTTACAGAAAAAGGAGAGTCTAGTTGCATCTTTTCCACTGCTGGGTTAAGACTTCAAGAAGGAGATGACGAAACATGTAGACATCAATGAGATGACATGATGGAGTAGACAGGCTGATTTTGAAAGTAAAGAACCCAAGTTTGTTAGGATTATGTTTTAGCAATTTACCTAACAGACATCCTGAAAATTTAAGTTGTGACCCAGGAATAAAAAGGGAAAAAACTGCTCTCCATGTGGTTTCTTTTTTTTTTTTTTTTTTCTTTGAGACAGAGTCTCACTCTGTCATCCAGGCTGGCATGCAATGGCGTGATCTCAGCTCACTACAACCTCCACCTCCCAGGTTCAAGCAATTCTCATGCCTCAGCTTCCCAAGTAGCTGTGATTACAGGTGCATGCCACCACGCCTGGCTAATTTTTCTATTTTTAGTAGAGACGGGGTTTTGCCATCTTGGCCAGGCCAGTCTCGAACTCCTGACCCCAAGCAACCTGCCTGCCTCGGCCTCCCAAAATGCTGGGATTACAGGCGTGAGTCACCACAACCGACCTCCATGTGGTTTCAAATTGTATGTATTCCTCTCTTCCTCTCTCTCAGCAACTTGTCAAATATAATAAGCATATGAGATAATTCCACAGGGGCCATGAAGAATTCTTTAATGCCCTCAAGTAGTTGAGACAGAGCCTCAGATTATAAGAACCATCACTTTAAAGTCACAGCTGGCAGCATGCCTGATAGCACAAGAATGAGTGTTCAAATCAGGATTGTTTTTCTTCCTAAACATCCATGTATTAAAAATAATAAAAGTCTTTATATATCAGCTATTGATCAGAGCCTGGTAGGGTCTAAGAAAATTTATTCTAGATGCTTCCTTCCAGCTTTTACTCAGGATTACCTGAAGAGTGGAAAATAAAAGAAACTCTGGCTACTTCTTACCTTAACGTTACATGCCAGAGCTTTCCCATCATCTCCTTTAAGCATCAGTTTCATTCTTCGAAGGGACTGCATGGCTTTTACAAAGTCAGTTGCCTCTTGGTACTGTATGAAGGCCTCAAATGTCTGTAAGCCAAAGCTAAAACCCCCAAAGCTCCTGTCAGTCATCACTTCTCTGTAGGGGCCAAGCATAAGGATATCCACATTCTTGATCTTCCCAAAACTTTCAAAGACTACCCAAAGGATCTCTTCACATGGCTTCTCCTTGCTAGAACTTTTAGGTGCAAACCATTTACAGGGCAAGTCTTCAAAATATATGGAATCTGGGCTCTTCTCATGGTCCTTCAGCCCCGTCACTCAACAAGGGCTCTCTTCCCTTGGGGAAGTGCTCCCATTCTCTCTGGGCATCTGTAGCCACTACTTTTAAGTCTTTTTTCAAACCATTTAACTTGATCATCTTCCCATGTAACTTTGCCTTCAGGATCTGAACCAAACTTCGGGTCTCAGCCTCACCCTCAAATCGAATGAAGTCCTCTGTACTATTGGAAAGCCAAACTGTGGTGAACTGGTCAGGGCAAATCAGGCTCTTCAGCTGGTCAAGAACTTCCCAGTTAGAGAAGGGCCTCACAGGTTCTAGACTCCCTGGAAGCAATATGCTGATCAACAATTTTGCTATGGGCTTGAGGTAGAGGTGCTGAGCTGCACAGAGCTCTGTTGCCTCAGAGTTATCATACACTGCTGTGACTGTCATGGTGTCCTCAGACCACCTTAGAGAGCGAAAGAGAAAATTTTGATACAGATGGAGTAATATACAGATTTGGATTGTGAAATGGTGTTGGCATTGCTGGACTTAGAACAAATTGATAAGAAAAACTATACTACAAGTAGAATTAAAATAATATTTTCTGATGCCTGGAAATAATGTTATTTCAGCAGGGCTTCCGAATATAAGGTTAATACAAAAAAGCCAATAGCCTTCCTATATAACAGCAACGAACAAGTAGAATTTGAAATTTAAAACTCAATACCATTTACATTAGCACACAAAACAATGAGATACTTAGTTAGAAATCTTACAAAATACGTACAAGATCTATACAAGGTAAAGAAAAACTAACTATGTGGTCCACGAATAAGAAGACTCAAGATGTCAGTTCTTGCCAACTTGATCAATAGATTCAATGTAATCCCAATCAAAATCCCAGTGAGTTATTTTGTGGATATTGGCAAACTGATTCTAAAGTTTATATGGAGAGGCAAAAGATTCAGAATAGCTAACTCAATATTGAAGAAGAACAAAGTTGGAGAACTAACACTATCCAACATCAAGACTTACTATAAAGCTATAGTAATCAAGATAGTGGTTTGGTAAAAGAAAAGACAAATACACCAATAGAACAGAATAGAAAGTCCAGAGAGGCCCACATAAATACAGTCAACTGATCTTTAAAAAAGAGGAGCAAAGACAATATAACAGAGCAAAGATAGTCTTTTCAAAAAATGGTGCTGGAACATTTAGACATCCACAAGACCTTGCATATGGCAATGACTTTTTAGATGTAACACCAAAGGCACATTCTAGAAAAGAAATAATTGATAAGTTGGATTTCATTAAATTTTAAAATTTCTGCTCTGCAAAACACACTGTCAAGAGAATAAAAAGACAAGCCACAGACCGGGAGAAAATATTTGCAAAAGATATGTCAGATAAAGAATGGTTATCCAAAATATACAAAGAACTCTTAAAACTCAACAATAAGAGTACAATCTGATTTAAAAATGGACCAAAGCCCTAACAGACACCTCCCCAAAGAAGATACACCAGATGGCAAAAAAGCATATGAAAAGATGCTTCACATCATATGTCATCAGGAAAATGCAAATTAAAACAACAATGAGATACCACCACACACCTATTAGAATGGCCAAAATCCAGAACACTGACCACACCAAATGAGGTCTCCTTAAGGAAGAAGTATCACAATGAGCATGTGGTACAACAGAAACTCTCATTCATTGCTGGTGGAAATGCAAAATGGTACAGTCATTTCAGAAGACGATTTGGCAGTTTCTCACAAAACTAAACATACTCTTGCCATATGATCCAGCAATGCGCACTCCTTGTTATTTCTCCAAAGGAATTGAAAATTTATGTCCAAACAAAAACTTGCATATAATGTTTATAGCAGCTTTATTCATAATTGTCAAAACCTGGAAGGAACCAAGATGTTCTTCAGTAGGTGAATGGATAAATAAACCATGGTACATCCAGACAATGGATTATTATTCAGCCCCAAAAAGAAATGAGCTATCAAGCCATGAAAATATGTGGAAGAAACTTAAGTGCATCTTCCTAAGTGAAAGAAGCCAATCTGAAAAGGCAACATACTATATGATTCCTATTACATAACATTTTGTAAAAGGCAAAACTATGGAAACAGTAAAAAGATCTGTGGCTGCCATGAATTAGAGGGGAGGGAAGGTTGAATAGGCTGAGCACAGAGGATTTTTAGGGCAGTTGGAGCTATGTTGTATGATACTGTAATGATAGATACATGTCATTAACATTTGTCCAAAACCAGAGAATGTTCAACACCAAGACTGAACTCTAATGTAAACTATGGACTTTGGGTTATGATGATGTGTCAATGTAGGTTCACTGATTGTCACACATATAACCACTCTGGTGGAAGATGTTAATCACGGGGGAGGCTAGGCACGTGTAGGAGCACGAGTATGTGGGACCTCTATATTTTCTGCTCAATTTTCTTCTTTTTTTTTTTTTTTTCCTGAGACGTAGTCTTGCTCTGTCACCTAGGCTGGAGTGCAGTGGCCTGATCTTGGCTCACTGTAACCTCCGCAACCCAGGTTCCAGTGATTCTCCTGCCTCAGCCTCCTGAGTAGCTTGGATTACAGGCGTGCACCACCACACCCAGCTAATTTCGTGTTTTTAGTAGAGACAGGGTTTCACCATGTTGGCCAGGCTGGTCTCAAACTCCTGACCTCAGGTGACCCACCCACCTCAGCCTCCCAAAGTGCTGGGATTACAGGCATGAGCCACCACACCAGGCCCCTTCTGCTCAAGTTTCTTGTGAACCTAAAACTTCTCTAAATAATAAAGCCTATTAAAATAATAATATCTGTTCTATAAGTGAATAATAATAATAATATGTAATCTTTATTTAATAATATTTGTTTAATGTTTTTAGAGCTTTCAAAGAGTATATACTGTGTCTCAGTTTCCTTAACCATAAAATAGAGATAATAAGATTTGGGGGAGGATTAAATGAGTGAGTACAGGCGAAATCCTTAGAATGTGCCTGGCACAAAGGAAGTTCTCAATAAACATAAGCTATAATATTATCTATTAGTGGTAGTAGTCTTACTTTATCTCATTTGATTTATGAAGCAACCTGTGAGTAGGTATTTGCCTGCTTGTTTTACAGATGGAGAAATTCAGACAGTTTCAGGAAAATTAAATCACTTGCCCATACATTGAGAAGCCAAGATTCTAAATCTCTAATCTATTATACAATTGATCTTAAATTTAAAGTCCCATTAAAAACCTGCTGGGGATGGTACACAAACACGGCAAGGGTGGCACATTAATGAACATGCACCGAACATGCATAGAACTTATAGTTCTAACCCATGCACCTGACTTAGCATCCCTTGTCCAGGTTGGTTTCCAAGTCTAAAATGGACATATCTACTCTTATTCCTCCAGTCTGTTGACTTTAACTAAATTGATCTCTAAGTTAAAGTTAAGAAGAGACAACCTTTTCTAATGAGTGACAAAGTGAATTTGTCCTCTACTTTGGGACTGGAAAAAATCTCAAAACATGAGTGCTTGCTGTTTACTTCATATTAACAAACTATTTGAAGCAGTACTAAGGTGAACAAGATCACTAATGCTGGGAATTAAAGATTTAAGCTTCTATTTGTTTAATTTAAATAGCACTTCCCAATAAAGGAGTTTTTTCTGAGTGGATATATCCAGACTCTATGTCACCAGAGTTTCTCATTAATGTCAACTTTAGGGAAATTTAGACCCAAACATATATGGCCAGATGACAGAAATTCTAACACAAAATTCACTGCGAAGTCTTGGCTAACTTTATAGGTACATAATTATTTAATAACTACCCCTAAAGGACAATCCAAGTTAATTTCCTTTAGAAGACAAGGTTTGTATAGACTGATTTTATAAAAGGTCATCAAAAGCAGTATCTAAGATACTATGTTCTAGAAATCCTTATGACAGCAACACTGAAATGGGATGATATGAAAATAAACATGTTTTCTTTCTCCAGAAGCATTATCTAAATAGCAAAATGGAAAAACTCCAGTTAGTTTGCTGTAATTTGCAATAAGGGTCAACACTAAGGCCCCTCTAGGAGAAAAATTAATGTGATATTCAATTAAGATACACTGAACTCTAACATTTATTTATAACCATTAGGTATTTATTTACACAACCTAATATAAAGCAACAGTTTTTTAAAAACATTCCAGAAAATATACACCCAAAACAGAGTTACTCTCTTCAAAGTAATCAGGCTTGTCAAGCTTTCCATTTGCTCCAGTGATACTGCCTTTGTTTAAAACACTGTAGAATGCTTCTCTTGGATTGATTTCAAAGCCTGGGTTACATTATTTTAAGTAGCTTCATGGAGGCCAATTTCTAAATTCCTTTATAATGGATTTGATATTTAGAAATTATCACAAATTACGTATAATCAAGAATGTTGGGTAAAATGGATGACTACAAGAACAAACTGATTTTCCCAAGAAGACCCAATTGTTTTTGAAAATAAAAAAAAAGCTGACCTCCTTTAAAATCCTCACAACTTAAATTCCTGTTTCCCAAGGACAAAAATGACAACAAACGAAGGCATTTGTTCTTCTCATATCTTTCATAGTTGTTCACAGGCTTTAGATCTTAAAATTGAATGTCAATAAATATTTCATCTTAAATTACTCTCCCAAAATAGAGGGCTAAATATCTAATCTTACTTTTAAAATATATTGAGGACCTAGCATGAACTAAGAAGTAAGCTTTTTATATATGGCATGGCTTCACTGCTATAGCAGTGTCATTGGCAACTTCTTCTAAGTCACTAAAAATTAACTAGCATAGTGACTGGGACATAGGTGCACAACAACCAACTCCCGTTGCGATGCTTCTTCCTTAAGGAGACCTCAAGTCGAAAACTAATAAAAAATATAGGAGAAGAAGGAGGAGGTAGTGGAGGAGAAGAAGGAGGAGGAAGAGGAGGAGGAGAAGGAAGGGAAGAGAGGAAGGGAGTAATTTTATTTTTAGATATTTAGTGAGTACAAGTGCAGATTTCTTACATGCATGTATTGTGCAGTGGTGAAATCTGGGCTTTTAGTGCACCCATCACCTGAATAGTGTATATTGTACCCAACAGGTAATTTTTCAATCCTCACCTCCCTCCCACCCTCCCACCTTTTGGAGTCTCCAATCTATTATTTTACTCTATATGCCCATGTTGTACATTTCTTAATGCTTCAATTTTTTAATGTTTATGATAAGAATGTATTAATTTTGTACTTTGTTTTTAATTAAAAAGAGGAACTTCAGATGATAATAACAAGCTACTAAAAGGAAGCAATTTATAACTGCTGACACCAACTTGTCCAGAAAATAGTAAAAAAAAACCAGATTAATACAATAGCAACTCCATTCACCCACCAAAAGCACCCCTCTTTCTGCCATCACTGTAAATG